TCCAAAATATAGCAGAGAGAGGACCACTCCCAAACTCATTCTACGAGGCCACCATCACCTTGATACCAAAACCAGACAAGGATGTAACAAAGAAAGAAAACTACAGGCCAATACCACTGATTAACATAGATGCAAAAATCCTCAACAAAATACTAGCAAACAGAATCCAACAGCACATTAAAAGGATCATACACCATGATCAAGTGGGGTTTATTCCAGGAATGCAAGAATTCTTCAATATACGCAAATCAATCAACGTGATACACCATATTAACAAATTGAAGGAGAAAAACCATATGATCATCTCAATAGATTCAGAGAAAGCTTTGGACAAAATTCAATACCCATTTATGATAAAAACCTTGCAGAAAGTAGGCATAGAGGGAAACTTCCTCAACATAATAAAGGCCATATATGACAAACCCATAGCCAACATCATCCTCAATGGTGAAAAACTGAAACCATTTCCACTAAGATCAGGAACAAGACAAGGTTGCCCACTCTCACCACTCTTATTCAACATAGTTTTGGAAGTTTTAGCCACAGCAATCAGAGAACAAAAGGAAATAAAAGGAATCCAAATCGGAAAAGAAGAAGTAAAACTGTCACTGCTTGCAGATGACATGATACCATACATACAGAACCCTAAAGATGCTACCAGAAAACTACTAGAGCTAATCAATGAATTTGGTAAAGGAGCAGGATACAAAATTAATGCACAGAAATCTCTGGCATTCCTATACACTAATGATGAAAAATCTGAAAGTGAAATCAAGAAAACACTCCCATTTACCATTGCAACAAAAAGAATAAAATATCTAGGAATAAACCTACCTAAGGAGACAAAAGACCTGTATGCAGAAAATTATAAGACACTGATGAAAGAAATTAAAGATGATACAAATAGATGGAGAGATATACCATGTTCTTGGATTGGAAGAATCAACATTGTGAAAATGACTCTATTACCCAAAGCAATCTACAGATTCAATGCAATCCCTATCAAACTACCACTGGCATTTTTCACAGAACTAGAACAAAAAATTTCACAATTTGTATGGAAATACAAAAGACCCCGAATAGCCAAAGCAATCTTGAGAACGAAAAACAGAACTGGAGGAATCAGGCTCCCTGACTTCAGACTATACTACAAAGCTACAGTAATCAAGACAGTATGGTACTGGCACAAAAACAGAAATATAGCTCAATGGAACAGGACAGAAAGCCCAGAGATAAACCCACGCACATATGGTCACCTTATCTTTGATAAAGGTGGCAGGAATGTACAGTGGAGAAAGGACAGCCTCTTCAGTAAGTGGTGCTGGGAAAACTGGACAGATACATGTAAAAGTATGAGATTAGATCACTCCCTAACACCATACACAAAAATAAGCTCAAAATGGATTAGAAAAAAAAAAAAAAAAAAAAATGGATTAGAGACCTAAATGTAAGGCCAGAAACTATCAAACTCTTAGAGGAAAACATAGGCAGAACACTCTATGACATAAATCACAACAAGATCCTTTTTGACCCACCTCCTAGAGAAATGGAAATAAAAACAAAAATAAACAAATGGGACCTAATGAAACTTAAAAGCTTTGCACAGCAAAGGAGACCATAAACAAGACCAAAAGACAACCCTCAGAATGGGAGAAAATATTTGCAAATGAAGCAACTGACAAAGGATTAATCTCCAAAATTTATAAGCAGCTCATGCAGCTCAATAACAAAAAAAACAAACAACCCAATCCAAAAATGGGCAGAAGACCTAACTAGACATTTCTCCAAAGAAGATATACAGACTGCCAACAAACACATGAAAGAATGCTCAACATCATTAATCATTAGAGAAATGCAAATCAAAACTACAATGAGATATCATCTCACACCAGTCAGAATGGCCATCATCAAAAAATCTAGAAACAATAAATGCTGGAGAGGCTGTGGAGAAAAGGGAACACTCTTGCACTGCTGGTGGGAATGTGAATTGGTACAGCCACTATGGAGAACAGTATGGAGTTTCCTTAAAAAACTACAAATAGAACTACCATACAACCCAGCAATCCCACTACTGGGCATATACCCTGAGAAAACCATAATTCAAAAAGAGTCATGTACCAAAATGTTCATTGCAGCTCTATTTACAATAGCCTGGAGATAGAAACAACCTAAGTGTCCATCATCGGATGGATGGATAAAGAAGATGCGGCACATATATACAATGGAATACTACTCAGCCATAAAAAGAAACGAAATTGAGCTATTTGTAATGAGGTGGATAGACCTAGAGTCTGTCATACAGAGTGAAGTAAGTCAGAAAGAGAAAGACAAATACCGTATGCTAACACATATATATGGAATTAAGAAAAAAAAAAAATGTCATGAAGAACCTAGGGGTAAGACAGGAATAAAGACACAGACCTACTAGAGAACAGACTTGAGGATATGGGGAGGGGGAAGGGTGAGCTGTGACAAAGTGAGAGAGAGGCATGGACATATATGCACTATCAAATGTAAAACAGATAGCTAGTGGGAAGCAGCCACATAGCACCGGGAGATCAGCTAGGTGCTTTGTGACCACCGGGAGGGGTGGGATAGGGAGGGTGAGAGGGAGGGAGATGCAAAAAGGAAGAGATATGGGAACATATGTATGTGTATAACTGATTCACTTTGTTATGAAGCAGAAACTAACACACCATTGTAAAGAAATTATATTCCAATAAAGATGTAAAGAAAAAAAAAAAAAACCATGTGAGCAAATTAGCCAGCAGTTCAAACGAGCAGGATTAACGCTTCTCAATGCTGTGTATACACCACCAGGGGGCCGTCCCATGGCCTCTCCAAGACAGGGCAACACATACCAGTAAGAGATTCATTCACTTTACAAGGAGATAAACAGATCCCGATTCAGCTACCCAGAATCCAAGTCAGGCTGCGTTAATGATAACAATGATAGTAATATTACCATGAATAATATTAATAGCAAATACTTAAGGCTTACTGCATGCCGGGCATGGTTTTAATCTCTGTACGTGTATTTAATCTTCACAACTCCTCCATGAGGTATGTGGCATTATTATCACCACTTTACAGACTGAGATAAACACAGAGAGGTTAAGTAACCTGTCCAAGAACACAAAGCTAATAAATGGTACAGCCAGGATTCAAACCCAGGGAATCTGGGTGAAGAGTCTGTGCTCTTAATCAAAAACTATATTAACTATCAGAAAAATGTGGGGTTCAGAAAGCATTTCTGGCAGAGGAAATAATTTCAGCACAAAGAGACAGCATTATGATGTGCTCAGAAATAAGTAACAAAAAGCAGTATAAGTAAGTAGAAATGAGAAGTTTTGTTTGAGGAGCATCAGGGGATACAGAAGAAGAGTGCTGGGGTTAGGGCTCAAGCATCAGATTCAAACAGACGACCTGAGTTCTATTCTGTCACGGACCTGGTGAGTGATCACAAGCATGTCACCTACTCTCACCAAGCCTCAGTCTCTCCATCTGAAAAATGGACATCCTCTTACAGAACTTTTGTGCTCAGGGTGAGGCCCACAGACCCACAGTAAGTGCTTAAGAAATGTAAACTGCTAATGATAATAGTCATAACAGTAATCAATTTTTATTTAAAAATACAATTTTATTTTTTTAATTTATTAGAAATAGATTTTTATTATATGTAAGGCCAAACTGTGAGACTTTGAATGCCACGTGGAGTTTGGATTTGACTCCAAAGGAGAGCTAAGTACATAGCACACACAGGGCAGGGATCTCTTGAGAGAAGCCCATAGCACGGGGCACCCAGTATTAAAAAGAATGGAGGGCTTCCCTGGTGGCGCAGTGGTTGAGAGTCTGCCTGCCGATGTAGGGGATGTGGGTTCGTGCCCCGATCCGGGAGGATCCCACGTGCCGCGGAGCAGCTGGGCCCGTGAGCCATGGCCGCTGAGCCTCCATGTCTAGACCTCAACAGGAGAGGCCACAACAGTGAGAGGCCCGCGTACCGCAAAAAAAAAAAAAAAAAAAGAATGGAAAGAGGGCTTCCCTGGTGGCGCAGTGGTTGAGAGTCCGCATGCCAATGCAGGGGACACGGGTTCAATCCCTGGTCCAGGAAGATCCCATATGCCGTGGAGCAACTAAGCCCGTGCGCCACAACTGTTGAGCCTGCACTCTGGAGCCTGTGAGCCACAACTGCTGAGCCTGCGCGCCTAGAGCCTATGCTCCGCAACAAGAGAAGCCACCGCAGTGAGAAGCCCCTGCTCGCCGCAACTGGAGAAAGCCCGCGCGCAGCAACAAAGACCCAACGCAGCCAAAAATAAATAAATAAATTTATAAAAAAAAGAATGGAAAGAGCCAATGATTCCTGTTTCAGCCTGGCTACCACCCCAAATAGTTCTGTTACTTTCATAAAACTCAAATAACCAGGGGCTTCCCTGGTGGCGCAGTGGTTAAGAATCCGGCTGCCAATGCAGGGGACACAGGTTCAAGCCCTGGTCCGGGAAGATCCCACATGCTGCGGAGCAACTAAGCCTGTGAGCCACAACTACTGAGCCTGTGATCTAGAGCCCGTGAGCCACAACTACTGAGCCCATGCGCCACAACTACCGAGCCCATGCGCCACACTACTGAAGCCCGTGCACCTAGAGCCCGTGTTTCGCAAAAGAGAAGCCACCGCAATAAGAAGTCCACACACCGAAACAAAGAGTAGCCCCCGCTCACCGCAACTAAAAAAGAAAGCCCACATGCAGCAGCAAAGTCCCAACACAGCCATAAATAAATAAATAAATAAATTTTAAAAATCAAAGAACTATGCTTCTCAGTCCCTTTCTTCCTTTCCTCCTTCCCTCCCTCCCTTTTCTTTCTCTCTTCCTCACTTTCTTTTCATTTTTTTTAACATTTTAAACATTTCCCATAATCTCATGGCTTTAAAAAAAAGTACCACAGATTTTAACAATTAACATGGGCAGAGACATCTCTAAAAACACATCCCATGCCCTACAAACCTGTTAAGCCCTGGACTCAGAATCCTAGTTGTCCCCTGTGCAAATCCAATTTAGGTTAGCAAGGACTAAATATCACTAGTTTAGCTCAAGGGGAAAGACGACGACTGTGCAATTACTTTTCAGCCACAGGCTGCAGTGGTCACAGGCTACTGAAGAGATGACTTCTTCCTCCAGGCTCTCTCTTCACTGGGCCTTCTGTGAACTGTCTGTGGTCTGGTGATAAAGCTGAAAGAGAAGTGGCAAAAGCAAACCAGGAAGGGTTGGGGGTGGAAAGAAGTACAGAGCCCGCTTAAAGAGGAAGGGGGCAGATGTCCTTCAGGCGACAAATCACTCGGGCTAGGAAATGTATGGGTCTAGAGGGTTCGAAAGACAACAGATTTTTGAGCACCTACTGATGTACGAGGCATTAGGCTGGCATTTGGGGAGGAGAGAGGATGCAAAATACTAAAAGCAGCAAGTTCGAGCCTGTAAAAATGTAGCTGAATGAACAGCCAACAAAGAGATGAAAAAGCAGAGGGTTTTACCCGGAAATAATAAGCAGTCGGGTTTGAAGTAAGAGGAAATGAAGGTGAGCTGGGGAAGATAAGACTCGAGAAGGGGGGCTGAGGCCAGACCACGCAGGACTTGAATGCAGTGCTGAAGAATCTGAACTTTATTCCTCAGGCTACAAGGATTGGCGCAGCATTCAAGTTCACAAAACAAAACACTAGGGCATGATAAAAGTCGTTCTAAGGCAAGCCCCAAGGGAGGAGGAGACAGGGGAGGAAGACTTGTAAGGACACCACTGCACTAGTTCAAGTAAGAGGATACCAACGTGAACCATGCGGATTTAATTTTTTTTTTAATTTTCAAAAAATTTTTAAATTGCAGAAAAAGAATGGACAGAATTTGGTTATTAGACATAGGAGAGGGAAGAGTCAAGGATGACTGAGGTTTTTAGTGATTATATTGACAGAAAAGAAACTGGAGGGAGGGAAGGAGTGAGGAAGAGAATGAACATAGTAATTTGGAAGAAACCAGCCTAGGAAAGGCCCTGAAGAGGGCAGCCAGTTTCTAAGCTCTTAGAGGTGGGCATTTGCAATTCCTAAATGTGCTTCCCAGAGGAAACCACCCCTAAATTAGCATCCCTTCGGTCCTGTGAGACCTTCTAGAAGGCAAACATTCACTCCCATTTTACAGACGGAAGAGAGGAAAGTCAAGAGACACGTCCAGTATGATACCAAGGTGCAGTAACAAAAATAAATATTAAAGTATCCAGCACGTAGACATACACTTTGTTCAAATCCTCGTCATTCACCTTTGGAGCTTTAGTTCACATACGCACCACCTGTAAAATCTACAAGTTTGTTACAGTAGATTTTTTTTTTTTTTTTTTTTTTTTTGTTACAGTAGATTTTAAGCCGCAAAGAAAACAAGCGAGCCAGTGAGCTGCTACGTCCCCAAACTGTCTTTCTGCTAATAAATATTGATGTCTCCCTCTTCCTGAACCTTCTGTCCCCGAGGACTTTTCTGTGCAAAGCACCCCTTCTAAGTGAACGTTTGTGGGTCACCTGCTTGCTCTAGGCTCCCGCTGTAGAATTCCACAACAAACTGTTTTCTGAGGGCAAGAAAAGTCTTCAGGGGGTTCTCCTGTTCTAGAAACAAACAAAAGGTTAAATGCGACGAAGAGGGAAACGGAGAAGGGAACGACAGAAGGAGGAAGAAAAAGGAACACAGTTCTCTTTTGTTTAAAGGAACCAAGTGGGCCAAATTAATTTGCTTAGGGGCCTGCAGAGCTTCCCACAAAGGTGGAGATGATGGGCAAGATTTCCACATGTAGGATAAACATCTAGGAAAATTCATTTTCTCTGTGCTAAAAGGGTACGTCGGTCACACAGATTTTACTTATTAAGAGACGGGGGAGCAAGGAGACTGACTAACCCAGGGGCTGTTTTTCCGACATTCTCACTGGCTTCTGCCCTGGTAATCTAGGTTACCCTTTATGCTACCCTGAGTTATAAATAGCATTCATTTCCTTTCTCAGGCCAGACAGATTTTAATGCTTTATTTCTTGGGTCCAAGGGAAAAAATACTCATAGCACATCTCATTCTGAATTTGAGTTACTACCAAGCTACCTCGCTTTGAATCAACCATGGAATAAGAAAACCACTTCAAAACATCAAAATTTGTTTGTTGTTGCCATGTTGTTAAATTAGCCCAGAAAAGCCCAATGGGACTTCTGAGTAGCTGTTTCCTTTCTAGTACATAGCTCAGAATCCTCCAGAACACAGCTCCAGGGCTTTGCATGTGTCTGGGATGAGGCAGGTGAATATTTTATACAATGACATGGGTGAGTACTGAGCCCGATGAAGGATTCCCCAAGGGATAAGAGCACCTTCAGTTGTTAGACAGAAACAGGAAGGCATTTCTCCTTATTTCTTTTTAAGGAAAGAAAAAGCTACACCAAGAAGAGCAGTTAAATAAGTGAAGAAGCAGAAAAGCCCCTACTTACAACAGCTACTTGTCTGAGACCCATGCAAGGTCTAGGAGTCTGAAGAGGGCAAGAGAATCAGATGCAACAGGCTGCCACTCGACCAGAAGCTTTACATCTCACTTCAACATCACAACTTAGCTCAAAGATCCCGGTCTGAACCTGAAATGACACCAACCCCGATCTAAAACTTCTGCATTTCACTTTTCTGCAATTCCTACCAAGCTTGGCTTGACACTCCTGAATGCAGGAAAGACAAAGCAAGGAAAAGAATGGACATTCCTGGAGAGGTGCATCCACGTGAGAGCTTTCCTTTCTCTACCAAGACAAAGGCAAGGACTGAAAGCCAGCTTCACTTTGCCCCCCAAATACCTAGGCCTTTGAGGGGCTCTTACCCTTGGCTCACCTCACAAGGTCCCCCGTCCTGCTGAGCCGACCCCACACTCTCTTACTATGAATCACCAGATCCCTCTCTGTCAGACTGTCAGCTCCTTGCGGAAGCCCTGTTTCTCCTGATGAGCGTCACAAACAGCATTTTAAAGCAGTCTTTGGGTTGGTCCCCTGGGCTATCAGGAAGTGGGAATTTTGATCATATGCATATAGGAAGCATCAAATTCGCTATCTGTTTCCCTTGGGGTTCAGGGACATCCAGAGGAGGCCCAAAGGGTTCCCCCAACCTGTTGTAGATGGTGTGACTCTCCTCTGAGGCCAAAGCAACTCTGGAAACAGAGCTGACCGAAACAGAACTGAGGGCTTGGTGCCAGTTCTTACCAATTTTAACGTGAGCAACTTAGCATTTAGTAGTGTAATCCCACTTATTGTAGGTATTACGATGGGGACAAATCATTTCAAATTAAAAATGAAACCAAAACCTTGACAGTAACTCCTCACCAGCAAGTGGCTAGTTTCGGACTTCTGAAAGGTCACAAAAGATTCTGAGATCACTTTGCATTTATCACCCAGCGGCAGATAACTCCTTCAGAGCTGCCCCGACTTCTCACAGAAGACCTCCCTCTACTTAGGAGATGAAGCGCTCCAACAGGCTCTGGCGTGCTGGCTGAGAAAACAGAACCCACCTCTTTCTGCTGCCATCGGGCCTGTCCTCTGCCAACTGTCTGGATGCTGCCCTTTCGAAGGGGCAAGGGGAAGATATGTACTTAATCTTAAGCTCTCACCTGTCCCAGTACCAGAGCCCAGAATGTCATGGAAACTGATGCAACAGCTCCCTCAAGATCAGCCCTTCAAGTGAGCTAAGCCCATGAGAGATGCAAACTATCAGCACCTTCGTGTGCTGCGACTGTATCTTGCAGAGGCTGCAACGGAAGAAAAGAACGAACACGGAGGAAGTCCTTTGCTCGCTTAGTTTCCTCCCATTTTACAAACTTGTGCAACGTGCTATTCCCCCAGCCTCTCATAGTTTCCAAGCCTTTTAAGAGCAAGTGGAGCGCCGGCCCACACTTACACGGCTACTTGACAGTTCCCTAGCAAACGGCTGAGAAAAGGGGCACAAGTGGGTACTAGTGGTCATGCCAAAGCTCAGACGTAACAGGAGCTGCATGGGCACACCCAGGAGAAAAAAAATACCAGGGAGCCCCGGGCAGAAAACCTAGGAGCTAGACAGAAAACAGAGGTCTGCAGGTCCTCCCAAAGCACCAGCCTGACCCAAATTTCAGCCCTGGGCCTCTCACTCTCCAGAAGACAACCTCCTGCTCAACAATTGGTCTTTTGTGCTGCACAACGTTATCCACCAAGGGCTGGGTGGAAAAAAAAACCTAATCCCCTTCACCTGTAACCTCATTGTGGCCTCCAGGCCCAGGGTGGACAGGGCTCTCCTGGACTCCGGGTCTGCGCACAGCCCAATCTCTCACAGGGGCTGAGGACCGACAGGAGAGCCAGGCAGCCCCAGTACACACACCAGTCCTCACCCAAAGGAAGGCTCCGTCATGGGGAGTGCACCTCCACACAAGTCAAACTCGAAGGTCAGGATGGAGAAACTGAGGCTCAGAGAGGGGCAGCCACCCGCCCCAGGTCACACAGCGAAGTCAGGAACGGAGCTTTAGTACTACCAAAACCCCGGCCTCGGGATTCCTGAGTACCTCACTGGCCCCCGCCTGCCCTCATCACGCCCGGCTAAGAATAACTAACATCCCCACAGCACCTCAGCCCCAATGTCTCCGCCTCCGTAGGGCCAGGACCTTGGTCTTTGCCCCGAGCGTCCGCCAGCCAACCCACAGACCCTGCCCGCCCGAGGGTCTGACCCGCCACCGCCCCGGAGCCCCAGCCCAGCGTCCCACCGCCCGCCGGACCTGCAGATTCGCGCTCCCGAGAGCCGGCGGCGGCAGACATTTCCCTGCCTGCTTCCTCAAGCTCTTCATCACGCCGCCCGGAACCCCGCCCCCCGTTTCCACCCCCAGAGGGGCCCGCCCCCGCGTGCCACCCTCGCCAATCAAAGGCCGGGCTGCTCCATAGCTCCGCCCCCAAAGAGAACGGGGCCCGCCCCTGAAGCCTGGCCTCCTCCAATCCCCTTCGCGCCTTCCGAGATCGATACCTGCCTCCGCCAATTCCAGAGCGCCCGGGCCGGGTGCCCTGGGCTGAGTTCCAGCGGCGCGGCGTGGGCGGCTCGGGCTCCGGCTCCTTGCGCCTGTAGCGAGACAGCCACAGGAACTTAGGATCTAGGGCCTTGGTGTTGAAACCTGTGGAAGGAAAAAGGAGGGAATACTGAGCCACGGACTTGAAGAGCCGGTTCCACCTCCGCAAGGTGGATTTGCTCCGTGAGCAAATCGCTCAGCCTCTCCGGGGAGGCTCCAAGCCTGTTTCCCTGGCGCACAGTGTGGGCCTGAGATTCAAATACACTAATAAACATGAAAACGAAAGTGCTATACCAAGATAGACAAGCACCACTCCTGCGACCTGGTGGTAACTACGTGCCAAGGTCTATGCTCCTTAATTCTCACAACTAACTTTAGGAGCAAGGGAACGATTATCCGGTGGCAACTATTATCCCATGGCAACTGAGCTCAGAGAGGTGAAGTCTGAGGTCGCAGAGTGAGTGGCAGTGTGGGAACTCAAATACATGTTAGTACTAGGGAGCGGGTTGGGGGCTTTATCTACCCATAATCTCCATCAGCAACTCGCAAGCCTCCCAAAAAAACACACTCTAAGTAAAAGCAGTGTGCCTGCTATGAAATATGCCTTCAAGACGAGTCCTCTGGTTCCCTCTGAACCAGATTGCCACTCTTCCTTCCTAGAAATTCTTGGGTCTTCTCTGCCTCTCACTCAAACCCAGGTCTGCCTGATTCCTAAACACTTGCTGTTTCCTATGCTATCCTGCCTGTTCTCCTTGTAGAACAGCATGAACCTGACCGAACTGAATTGGATTTGCAAGGGCATCATAAATGAAGAGACTTGGGTCGTAGGACTGACTATGGCACTCCCAGACACAGCTTTTAAATTATTTTCAGCAGTTACATGCCATTAACCCATCTGATCCTCACAAAACTCTTGGAGTAGTAAGGCAAGTTCGTATTTCCACTGTACAGATAATAAAGCCAAGGCTCATAGCAATAAAATATATTGTTCACATTCACAACTAGGAAGTGGCAGAGCTGGGATCTGAACTGAAATCTCTGGACTCCATGGGCTTTGGAGTTATAACCTGGGGTTCCAAACCTGGTCCTATTAACTTCCATTAATGAATGACCTCGGGTAAGTTACTAAAATGTCAGTTTACTCTCTTGTCAGTTTACTCATCTGTAAAACAGGATACTCTTTAGTACTGCTCAAAAGACTAAACAGAAAAACATGGTTGTTGTCTGTTGCTGTCTAGAAAAATACATGGCACACAGTAGGTACTCAATTAATGTTGGCTAATTCTTTCCTCTAACTGTGATCTTTTGACCAAGTCACTTCCACTCCCTGACCTTTTGTGCTGCACATTACCCACCAAGGACTGGGTGGGGAAAAACTAGTTCCTTTCACCTGTAACCTCATCCCGGACTCTGGTCCTTTTATCTGTAAAATGCAAGGGTTGGGCAGGTGGATTCCCAAGAGTCTGTCATCTCTGAGAGTCCCCTCTCACCCAGACCCCTCCCAGAGGAAGTCCACATCATGATAGCTGCTCAAAGAAGCTGAGTTAGTGCAGTTTCCCTGCTGGTTACCCCAGGTGTGGACCCCGGAAGGAAGAGCAGGGAAGGGAACCGACAGACAGATACCTAAGCCTAAAAGAGGGGAATCATCCTCGACTACTCCGTCTCTTTCATTCTCACAGCCGGGCACCAAGCTCTGTTCATCCATTCAACAAATATGTGTTAAGCGCCTACTACATGGCAGGCACTGTTGTAACCACAGACAGTAAAGCTGTGAACACAACCCAAACTCAGTGTTCCCATGGTGCCTTCATTCTCATCAGTTTGATCTCTCCAGTGCATCCTCTCCTCCCCATCCCCATGACTGGGCCCTGGTCCAAGCCTCATTTTTTATGCCTGAACCACTGCAATACATTCCCATTGATCTCCCTGCTCTAGGTTCTCCCCTTCTGCACCAGTTGCCAGAGGAACTTTCCTAAAGTGCAAATCCTGCCTCGTTATTCCTCAGTTTAAAGCTCCATCAGCTCCCCACAAGCTACAGGGCAAAATCCAAGCTCTTTGATGGTTATTTAAGACCCTTCATGCACTGTCTCTGCTGGCCTGTCCTGGTTCAGCTCATTCCACAGCCTCCTCCCACCCCAACTTCAATCCCACCCAGTGCTCTGCTCTTAACTCCAACTGTCTTTTTTCCCATGTTGGCTGCCTGGGAAAAAAACCTCACTCATCCCTCAAGTCTCAGCTTAAACATCACCTCCTACACGAAGTCTTCCCTGAGCAGTGTAGATGGGATGGGTTGGCATGAGCTTAGGATGCATTAGAGCAAAACTCAAGAGCTCAGTCTCTGGAGGAGACTCTCTAATCCTGTCTAATCCTGGCTCTATTATTTACCAGCTATGTACTCAGGTAAGGCATTTAACCTCCCTGAGCCTCAGTTCCCTCACCTGTAAAATGGACACACTGATAATACCTACCTTGAACGGCTGTGGTAAGAAAAATGAGATAATGTGCTGAAAAGTCCTCAGAACAGTGTCTAACACGCAATAAGTCCACAATGAATGTTAGCTAAGGAAATATTTTTCTGAGCTCCTACTATGTGCTGGGCACTTTCACATGTATTACCTCATTTAATTCTCACAATTCCGTGAGGAAGATATTCTTTACATATAGAAGTCTACAAACAAGCAAACTCATAGAAAAAGAGATCAGATTTGTGGTTACCAGAGGGAGGGATGAAGTGGGGGAAAAGGGGATTGGGTGAAGGCAGTCAAAGGTCCAAACTTCCAGTTATAAGATAAATAGGGAGTTCTCTGGTGGCCTAGTGGTTAGGATCCCAGGCTTTCACTGCCGTAGCCCGGGTTCAATCCCTGGTCGGGGAATTGAGATCCCACAAACTGCATGGTATGCACCCCCCCAAAAAGAAAAGAAAAATAAATAAGTACTAGGGGTGCAACAACATGATATTTAATACTGCTGTGTTATATGAAAGAAAGTTTTTAAGAGTGTAAATCATGAGTTCTCACCACAAGGAAAAAATATTTTTTTCTATGTCTTTAATTGTATATCTGTATGAGATGATGGATGTTCACTAAACTTATTGTGGAAATCGCTTTGTGATGTATGTAAGTGAAATCATTATGCTGTACACTTTAAACTTATACAATGCTGTATGTCAATTAGAGCTCAATAAAACTGGGAGAAAAAGAAAAGCTCTACAAAACCAAGGTTCAGAGAGGTGAGGTGGTTTGCCCAAAGTCACACAGCTAAAGACCAGCAAAGATAGGCTTCAAATGCAAGAGGTTGTATAGCTTCAAAGTCCATTCTCTTTGCTGTTACTACTGTTATTACTTCTCCTACAACTACCAATAATAATCATAAAACAGGTTATCCTTATTAGTTGAAGGTTTGGAGATAAATTTCCCCTGCTTATAGAATCAACCCTTTAACTCAGCATTCAAGGCTGTATATTGTTTCCTTTTCCCACATTGCCCAGTTTGCATCAACAGTCAGTACCCTTCCTGCACACCAGGCAAACTAAGTTGGAGCCCCCAGACATTCAGGCTCCATG